CCCCAATTCCAATGAAGTTGGAACATTGTGTAAAACGTAAATACAAACAGAATACAATGATTTTCAAATCCTTTTCAACCTGTATTCAACTGAATACACCAAAGACAAGATATTTTATGTTCAAACTGATAAACTTTATTGTTTTTAGCAAATATTCACTCACTTTGAATTTGATGCCTGCAACACGTTCCAAAAATGCTGGGACAGGGGCATGTTCACCACTGTGTTACATCACCTTTCCTTTTAACAACACTCAATAAGCGTTTGGGAACTGTGGACACTAATTGTTGAAGCTTTATAGGTGGAATTCTTTACCATTCTTGCTTGATGTACAACTTCAGTTGCTCAACAGTCTCTGTCTCGTATTTTGCGCTTCATAATGCGCAACACATTTTCAATGGGAGACAGGTCTGGACTGCAGGCAGGCCAGTCTAGTACCCGCACTCTTTTACTACGAAACCACGCTGTTGTAACACGTGCAGAATGTGGCTTGGCATTGTTTTGCTGAAATAAACAGAAAAGACGTTGCTTGGATGGCAGCATATGTTGCTCCAAAACCTGTATGTACCTTTCAGCATTAATGGTGCCTTCACAGATGTGCAAGTTACCCATGCCATGGGCACTAACACACCCCCATACCATCACAGATGCTGGCTTTTGAACTTTGCACTGGTAACATTCTGGATTGGTTCTTTTCCTCTTTGGCCCGGAGGACATGACATCCATAATTTCCAAAAACTATTTGAAATGTAGACTCGTCAGACCACAGCACACTTTTCCACTTTGTGTCAGTCCATCTCGGATGAGCTCGGGCCCAGAGAAGCCGGCTGTGTTTTTGGGTGTTGTTGATATATGGCTTTCACTTTGCATGGTAGAGTTTTAATTTGCACTTATTGATGTAGTGACAAACTGTGTTAACTGACAATGGTTTTCTAAAGTGTTCCTGAGCCCATGTGGTAATATCCTTAACACATTGATGTCGTTTTTTAATGCAGTGCCGCCTGAGGGATCGGTCTTCCCGCTTACGTGCAGAGATTTCTCCAGATTCTCTGAATCTTTTGATGATGGACCGTAGATGATGAAATCCCTAAATTCCTTGCAATTGTACGTTGAGAAACATTGTTCTTAAACTGTTGGGCTATTTGCTCACACAGTTGTTCACAAAGTGGTGAACCTCACCCCATCCTTGCTTGTGAATTAGTGAGCCTTTCGGGGATGCTCCTTTTATACCCAATCATGACACTCACCTGTCTCCAATTAACCTGTTCACCTGTGGAATGTTCCAAACAGGGTTTTTTTGAGCATTCCTCAGCTTTCCCAGTCTGTCCCAGCTTTTTTAAAACATGTTGCAGGCATCAAATTAAAAGTGAGTGAATATTTGCAAAAAACAATAAAGTTTATCAGTTTGAATATTAAATATCTTGTCTTTGTAGTGTATTAAATTGAATATAGGTTGAAAAGGATTAGCAAATGAATGTATTCTGGTTTTATTTATGTTTTACACAATGTCCCAACTTCATTGGAATTGGGGGGGCTACATTGGCTACACGGGGGCTGTGAGATTGCAGGATAGAGAAGTAACACCATGGATACTGAGGACATATTGAGACCATACTGGTTTCCCCCAAAACATAAATAAAATGTGATGTACTCCACCTTTACACCTATACAATAAACAGAAGTATGTTATATTTCACAGATTATCAGAACTTCTGCTTCTTTGATGTGAGCCATGGGAAATTGAATTTTGGAGCAACCCTTGTGACAGAAACTTTCTTCGGGTCTTCAAGGAGCAGCTGCAGTATCAAGGACATTTTTCTTTGCGTTTTTACAGGGCTGTGGTGTTGTCTCTCGGTGTGAGGAGCAGAGCTTACAAAATATCCCTAACCATATCACTCGAAACGGGTCAAGAGAGTGCCAGTGCAAGCTGTCATGCCAGATCTCAAACAAAACACAGGCTTCATATTAAAGATACCCCGCATGACAAGGGACACAACACTCAACATGTGATTATACCATTCCTGGTATCTTCAGTGAGCTGAATTTACTAACCCATGTTTGATCCAGTGTCTAATTAATTCCTTAAGTTCTTGTGTTTATAGCAAGGGAAGGGAGAGAGGGTATACAGTATGTAAGGGGATCTGTCTTTGAAGTGGTGTTCCGCAAATCTCTAGAGGACAACCGTGCCCGAGGCTGGACTCAGGCTGTGGGGAGAGAAGCAACAACCACTTTTCCTCTGCGGGGCCAAAACTGGGGTTTGCCATGGCCATGTTTGCTACATTAAATTTCCATTGTTATCTGTTTTAGTTGGGACAGTGTCTCCCACCACAAACACAATGTCTTAAGGCAGCAAAAGGTCAACAGAGCAAAGACTAAAATATTGGTTTGATTGAGATTGAGAGCAAATAACAACTAAGTGTTAAGTAGCATTGTTTGGCCCTCCACTGGAATATGGGCTCTTAGCTACACTGAAAAACAAGATTCGGCAATCCTCTGCGGTATACAGTACCCCTCCCTATGCCTAACTAGATAATGAACTATCAGCTATCTGTCTTCATTCCACCCAGGGCCCACTTGTCCTTCCCTGCAGACAGGAGCTACTTCTTGGCAGGTCTTGCTGAGGGGAATCTAAACCTCCTGGCTCTAAAGTAAAGTGTTGCATTCTTGTGAAAGTCATTTTGAGGTGAAAAACCAAATTCAGTGCTGCTATTTCTGTTGTTGTAGACAGCACCATCAATATTTGTGAACATGAAACAACCCTTTTCCCAAGCTAGACACCAGACAGCTGGGATCATCTGTGATGTCAGCAACATACTAAATCTTAGGTTTCTTCAGTCAAAACAAGTTGCAGACTCATAAGAATCTCGAAGAAAACCTATTAATTGGTCTTAAATTAATTTGGAGCAGCACAAACCTGTTAGCTATCTAGTTTTGGTTGACTTGTTTTGTTCATACTTTTTCTGTTTATGTCCTCAATTCAAAAACACCAGGACGTACATAAACTACTCTTTGCTAAGTAGATATTTAATAATTACTGCGTGTCAAAGGAAACACATGCCGTCCCACGATATCAGTTTCAAAGCCATCCACACTATAGACAAAGGTGTCCAGTTTTAAAAAAATATAGACCCATTTTATATTTTCACATTAGAAGTGTAGTAAATTATAGTAAATATGTGTGTGTGGGCTGACTGTAAGGGGTGTAACAAATACAAAAAATAGGCAATTTTTATTATACCTTTATTTAACCAGAAAAAAAGATTTAAAATCTCTTTTTCAAGAGTGTCCTGGCCAAGACAAACAACAGCACAATAACCAAGATTGCAGACGTAAGAAATATCACATAAACATAAAATATACAACAATTTACAATGGGAATAAATAACTAGTTACAAGGTCATAAAATGTCTATATTTTTCAAACATTCACTACAATTCATCAACAACAAGGATCAAACAAGTAATCAATCATAACATCTACAGCCAGAATTGCCAGCATCCAAGTCATTTAAAAGTACTTTAAAAGCAAACCGGTTCCCGAAGATTCAGGAAATTTTGCAGCTGATTTCAAGCAAAGGGAGCACCATAAATGCCCCTTTTCCCAATTCAGTCCAGACAGACAGATAATAAAGTCCTGGGAACAAAGACAGTATCTTCCTGTACTTTTCTCTTGGGTGCAGATTTGTAAGTAAGATGGAAGCAGACCAAGAACAACCTTATAAATAAGAGTATGCCAATGATTAAGTCTACGGGTGGACAATACAGACCAACCAACCTGAGCATACAAAGAGCAATCGTGAGTAAGGACTATACAGTTTGTGATGAAGCTCAGTGCTCCGTGGTAGAGAGTATCCAACACTTTTAGGCTTTGAATGAATACATGCATGTATATAGCATCACCATAGTCAAGCACTGACATAAAGGTGGTAGCAACAAGTCTCCTTTTGGTGACACGTCTTGTTTCTAAAATAAAACTCCAATTCGCCAATAGCTGAATATGAGGTTTAAAAGAGAGAGAACCATTAACTAGGATACCACGGCATTTAGTACAGACTCAGTGACATGAGTTTTGTTTTGTCAGCATTCAAAACAAGTTTTATATCAAACAAGGTATGTTGTAAAGTAGGTTTTTCCTAAGTGTTTCCAAAGTGCAATAAGTCGCAATAGACCCCTTTTACAGCAGATATTTTGACTTGTCATAGTGGGAAAAGCACAGTAATTAGTAACATTAATGATGACTCTGTCCCCGTGAACAGTGCCACTGTGACAGCCATCATGCACAATACCAGGACCCTGAAAGTGAAAGAGCTAAATGGAATTCAGCCAACATCAATCTCATAAGTCACACCTGTGCTTTTCCTACTGTGAAAAATATCTATTACAACGTTGTTGTATTTTGTATCAAAGGGTATGCTACTGTTTAGCGTATTGCACACTTGTTGCTGGGTACAGTAAATTCCATCAACCTATACAGCTGTAAAGACAGAACTTTATGCAGGTAGGATTGCACATTTTCACAATAATTCTGATTTTAGGAAGCAGAACCACAGGCTTTTCAAATTTTGAAGTTTTTCAATGCACCAGACATTCACAATGACAAGGGTGACATATCATTATAACTAAAATGTGGGTTCATTTCAACAAAAGCAGATGTTACTGTTGAAAGTGAATGAATTTTAGACTAAATCAAACATTTTCCTACTTAAATACGCCTGCTAACAGCATTTAACATACTGTACCACTGTGTTCTGGGCTCTCTGGTTGAAGGAAGACAGTTTTGCATGGATCGTACCATGTTAACTCAAGCGCTCCTCAAAATCAGACCTTTAAAATGAACCATTTACTGTGTAGTTCAAATAGCATTTAGCGTGTAGAATGTTTATACTTATTATAGCTGTATGTATTTTTGTCACCTTCTATTCGGAAGTTTTACTTTTGGCTGTCCAGTTACTCACTGACCTCCCCTCTCCGGCAGTGGTTTGCTCCTCACTCCAGCTGATCGGCCCAGGATTCCCCGGTGGCTCTGTCCGCTCCGGTGTCTCAACGTCGATTTAAACTGTTTTAATCGTACAGAGTCAGTGGCCGCTCGTGTCGGCAAATCGTTCCTCGTCTTGTGAAACTCTGAAGGATAATCTGGCCGTGGTATTGACTCTGTACTCGTCAAAGCCAGGGGATCTAAACGCAAATACGAGGCCCTCACTCCGTCCCCGGATTCACCTGCTACGCGGAGAGCCTCACGCGGAAGACCGACATGGGGGACACGGGGAGCGAGGGCAGCAAGCCTCCGAGTAACGTTAACGTGATACCCCCGCGCTGCCCCTGTGGTTTCTGGGGGTAAGGCGACATACCTGTCAAATGTCTTGCTTGCAGATTGCTTTCTTTCTCTGCCAACAGCTAGCAGAGTCGCTAGCAGCTAGCGTTAGCGGCTCAAACAGGGATGAGCTGCTTTTCTTGTTATTACCCCTCCCCTCCCCTCCCCATTGTTTTGTAGCATTAGCTGCTAGCTAACGCCAGCTGGCCTTGGTAACGTTAACCTTCTCCTGCAGATGTAGAGAACAGGCGAAGGATGTGGGATTAGCCCTCCAGGTAATGTGACAGGCGTGACAGCGCTGATAAAGTGGCGAGTTTCAAAGTGTCAGTTCATTAAAGGTGCAGTTGGTTAGAGATAACGTTATCACACTGAACAGTTGTTAAGCCATAAACAGGATCTGGGTAGAAACTAGGCACTCGTGGTTTTATCTGTTAAAATGAAAGCTGAAAGGCAGGATATGTGCTAATATAATGACTCATAGTTGCAAAGACGGCAACAAAATGGGCACACATTCACACAGTTGGCTGTGTTTGTTTAAGTTTTCCTCAGCACATTTATCCCCATGAGTAGATTTTATCGTGTCAAGTCATTAATTAACATATAAACAGGCCCATTTATAGTGGTAATCATGATTTAAAATGGCACTTAAAAAGTAAAAACACATAAATATTAAACATATACAAATAAAAAAGCAATGGTGCTTTAAATTGAGGTTAACTTAGTTTGTTTACTATTTGCATTTGGTGGGCTAACTGAAAAGGTTATCATGAGTCAGGTTTGGTACAAAGGTCCCACTTTAGATAGTGTACTGTGTTTTAAACGTTTGGGGCATAATGTGGTTGATTTGTTGGATCATAGTGAATTACATTTTTTTGCAGTATTCAATTTTCAACTTAATGGTAAAGGAGTTTAAGCTATAAGGCAGCCGACCAGGCCAGTCAGGACTATGTTGTGTTTTCCAGATTTGGAGTAGTTTGTTTTCTTTCTCCATTATTGTTTCTGTAAGGTACAAGAGCTGCCTTAGCACACTAAAGTACGTAATTTACTATTTGCTTATTTTAGGAGGTGATCAGTTTGGAGGCGACAGCTCACCCAATGACTGGTTGAAAAATCATGGAAAATATGTGGAAAAAACCCCCATTGCAATGCCAGTCATCAGATCTCAATACCAGTATTTTCTATGAACTTGAAATTTCTATGAATTACTATTACTATGAAATTTCCGAATGCTTTTCTCACTAGAATGTAGTGAACCACCTGATCAGAGTTCACCGGGGTACCAAATATCAGTGGAGTCTGCACCAAAATCATGGCATGATCTGTCTGTTACAGTATCGAAACTAAGTACTAAAAGTTACACATTTGCTCACAAAAAAGTTATTTAAATTTTTGGAAATTAAATGTCCGTCACATTTACAGCTTCCTTTTATAACATTGTAAGCATTAACCCCAGTTTCGCAACTCTTGTGAGTCCACACTTCTGAAACCCATTTTAGACAGAATGTCACTGCTGTGACATGGACACTAATTATTTCATTTCTTCTAACTACTGTTCTCACTATAGAATCAGTCTATCTGGCCTTGTGATATTTCTACCCAGTCACTAATACAAAATGAATGAAGTATGCAGAAGTTTTGAGTGTTGTTTTGATACAGTTGTTAGTTGTCTATATGTGACTGACATTTTAGCTGATGTTCAGACATTGTGACGTGAGAAATTATTATTTAGAGAATTATTTTTCAACCAAATTTATCAGAAAATCAGAACTGCTGTCAGTTACAGACAGTATCGCCTGTATATATATATAGTCAGCACTATAAGGTCCAACTTCCTCATTGAAGATAAGAAACAATACTACTGAAGCACCAAAACTAATGGTGCAGTTCAGCGGTGCCTGCCAACACTTTAGTCAAATATTTCAGAGTTTTTGATCAAATTGCTGACACTGAAAACCTGTGGGACGTTTGAAGACACCAGAGCATTCAGTGCAAGTTGTGATGTTTCACTTGACCACAAGCTGGACAACTGCCAAACAATATATATGTTAATGTTTAATATTTCAATGTAACTTCCATGTACAGTTGCAGGAAAAAGTATATGAACCCTTTGGAATTACCTGGAATTACCTAAATTGCTCATAAAATGTGATCTGATTTTCATCTAAGTCACAACATAGACACTCCACATAAATAATTATATCTTTCCATGTTTTTATTAAATATACTGTGGAAACAGTCACAGTGCACAGGGTTGAAAAAGTATGTGAACCCTTGGATTTAATAACTGGTTGACCCTCCTTGGCAGCAATATCCTCAACCAAATGTTTCTGTAGTTGCAGATCAGACCTGAACCACGGTCAGGAGTAGGGATGGGGAACCGAGACCCGGTTCCAAAATTTCTCAAAACCCGAAAATCAATAAGGTTCGAGCTTATCAATACTGCTATCGAGACTTGCGGGTCCTATGATAACGTTATGTCTCGAGCATCAAATCTGATTTGATTTGAAATGCAATGGATAAGAAAATCATCAGGCTGCAGTCTGCCTGCTCTCTGTGGGCTCCTACACACACACACACACACACACACACACACACACACACACACACAGCGGCAGCAGAGCAAGAGGCTGCGCCGTCGCGGTGGAATAACATTATGGTGAGGGTGAAGTTAGCTCCAAACTACTGTAACGTTAGTTGATGACAGCTAGACTCGTTACTGTAAGTACGTGCAATAAAACCTTCGCAAGTAAAAAGACAATACTTTTTCAATACACCTGTCTGTAAGGTAACGTGAAACATGTAGAAATGGTTAATTTAATCATCTCTGGCCTCAGTATCTCATCCTGTATGTTTTATACAAGCACAGCTAACGCTAGCTTGGCATTAGCCAAATGTTAAAAACAAGCTGAATAGAAAGCTGTCTGTCTGGAGCACAGACTGGTCTGTAGTCTTAAAAACTCTGCTGCTGGCTAAGACAAACAAGCCGCTCCTCCTCCTACCTGGTAACGTTACCTGCAGCCAGCGAGAGAGGAGGAGGGACTGATACAGACTGATGTTATTCTTTCTAAACATCACTCACTACTCAGATAAAGTTATGGAGTTACTTTGCTGTTGTTAACATTATTTATCGCAAGTGATATGTCATCTCAATATATAACGTTATCGCACATTGAATATTTTCCTCATACCGTGCAGGCCTACCTCATGCCCGTTGGGTCTGATCTTACCAAATAACCATCACTAAATAATTGTAGTAGTATCGTCTACAGTCTCAATAAGGGTATCAATAAAAAGTAACGATTCCCATCCCTACTCAGGAGGAACTTTGAACCATTCCTCTTTACAAATCTGTTTCAGTTCAGCAATATTCTTGGGATGTGTGTAAAGTGCATGGAGAGTAGTTACACTTTTTCCATTTATAAACAGTTTGTTTTACTGTGGACTGATGGACATCAAGACTTTTAGAGATGCTTCTGTAACCCTTTCCAGCTTCATGCAATTCAACAATTCTTAATCTTAGGTCTTCTTAGAGCTCTGTTGGTCGAGGCATGGTTCACATCAGGCAATGCTTCGTGGGAATATCAAAATTTTAATTTATGTGTTTTTTATAGGGCAGGACAGCTCTTACCAACACCTCCAATCTCGTCTCATTGATTGGACTTCAGGTTGGCTGACTTCTGACACCAATTAGCTTTTGGAGAAGTCATTAGCCTAGGGGAACACATACTTTTTCCACCCTGCACTATGACTGTTTACTCAGTGTGTTCAATAAAAACATGAAAACATAATTGTTTTACCAGTAATTAATTAATAAAAATGATAATCTTTTTTCAACAAATATGCATTTTTTAAATTAAGTAAAATCTTTTCAGTTCTTATTCCTCAACAAATAAATAATTTAATAGAAAAATTAAGTGCAGATTTGTTCGTGAGTCAAATGAATGATATCGAACATTTATTTAACATTTGTTGTATTTATATTGAAGAAAATAGTATCGCAATAATTATTTTTATCGTTTTATTGCCCAGCCCTAATCTAGTGTAGGAATCCAGCCTCTGAATTCGATTCTCCTGCTAGTAGGCTTTGTGTGTGGGTCTCATTTTGTCATTGGGTTTGGAATAGAAAATTTGGGTATTGGTAGGAATCACCTGTAAGTTGTTTTGTATGTTGCAGACTTGTCAGCAACATTTGAAACACAGGTTCACTTCTCATGTGTCTTTGTCATACGGTTTGACTTCCACTTGTCTCTTTCTGCCTCAAACGTGTTTGAAGAGGCACATTCAAGTGCACACTGTATGGGTGTGATTGGTGCTCTGAGGCTCATAAACCATAATATTCGGCACCCATGTTAACAGGTTAGAGCAACCAAAGGCACAGATAAAATATAAAATACTGGTGTGACAAAATAATTAAAATACTATGTACTTTGTAAAATTGAAAATATAAAATTACATTTTATACAAACTGATATTGTAACCTTTTAGGTTATTTAGTAGCCTAAGTGGTGTCTAGCTTGTAAGTATATTTTGCCAGTTCTAGAGCACCTGTGTTGGCTAATTGCCCTTTTCTTCTGATGTATTGCTTGCCTTGGCATGCATTATCTGATCACATTTTGATTATATACCTTCGTCTTAGGGTAATTTGCACCAAACACAAAAGCTGCAAATGAACAAGGAAGGAACGCAAATGAAATACGGTAGTTCACAATGAGCATGTTGCCGACTTCACATGCCATGCCATGTTATTCACTTGCATTTAGACTGAGCAGGCTAATTGCTGTGTCCTGTTGTTTTCATACAGTTTAAACCTGAGGAAAAAAACACATTACAAACAAACAATTTATTTGAGGATAAAATGACTTATTAAATAATTTATGTCAGCATGGTTCTAAGCAAAAACATATCTTTCACTACAGCTTCTGTGTCTATAGAGTATATCTAACTCAACAACTCGGCCTTCTTTCAGATTAAAAGCCCTCGAGTGTTTCTGTGGACAGAATCCCTTCATTTATTAACAAGCCGTTTATTGTATTTATTAAAGGCAAACTCGGTATAGAAAGATAGGGCTGGCAGTAGGAGTGCTGCAACAGCAATGCTGTCTGTGTGGACGCGTACATCACGCGTACAAACCGCCATACGCGTGTCAAGCAGTGTGGACTAAGCATTAATGCTTGTGCTTCCTTTTGTTATTCCCCCTGAGAGCAGAAGGCTTGATAGTCTCAAAGTGATCTTTGACAGGGTAGGAAAGAAATCATTATGTTACACCTGAACTACAGCTAGCTTTAGTGATCACAAATGTTTTGTTGAACTTGTCCTTTTAATGTCCAGTAAAGAATTCTGTTTTTACAGGAGCGTAATTGTATCATGACTGTAACAGATATTAGATACAGTTATTTACAGCCTGCACCTTCAAGTTCAAGTTTTATGTTATCATTTGTGTTTGAATTTAACACTCCTGTACCTTGCAGGTGTGGATTGATTGTGTTGGTCCCTGTTAGTTGCATGTGTGTAACTCCTTGCCAATATTGGCAAGTGCAGTTTAACAGGGACTTATTGCACAAAGAAAGTTGAACATAGTCCTGTTCCCTGTCATGTCCCAAGGCTCTATTTGCTAAAAAATGTGGTTGAGTCACAATTTCTGTTTGTTGCTACTGTGATTAGTTTTGGGTTTTTTATACTTTTTAATAGGTTTTTGCTAGATCATTCCTTTAGTGTTACATTTATTTAAAATTTCAAATGGACTTTATCTTCAATTTCATTTACAATGTCAGATAGGGAAGTACACTGAACAAAATTATAAATGCAAAATGTTTTTGCCCCCTTCATCAGCTGAACTCAAAGATCTAAGACTTTCTCTATGTACACAAAAGGCCTGTTTCCCTCAAATATTATTCACAAATCTGTCAAAATCTGTGTTAGTGAGCACTTCTCCTTTGCTGAGATAATCCATCCACCTCACAGGTGTGGCATATCAAGATGCTAATCAGACGGCAAGGGTATTGCACAGGTGTGCCTTAGACTGGCCACAATAAAAAGCCACTCGAGTGCAGTTCCATCACACAGCACAATGCCACAGATGTTGCAAGTGTTGAGGGAGCGTGCAATTGGCATGCTGACTGCAGGAATGTCCACCAGACAGGACTCTAGACTAATGGCGTCCTGTCGTCCTGGGGACGATAGAAAATGTGTTTGGGACGAAGAGAAATATTCTCTGGAGCGCCTCTGGGACGAAAGGGATTGTGTATGTGTTTATTTATTACTATCACTTAGCAAATGATAAACTGAACCGACCGAGTGCTAACTACAACAGAGCACGTCTTCTCATGCTGTTACTATATAGTCACTAGGGATGGGAATCGTTAACTTTCATTGATATTCATGCCCTTATTGAGACTGCTTAATGATCACGATTCTTTATTGATACAACTATCATACTTTTCTATTATTTGGTGACGGTTATTTGGTAAGACCAGACCCAACGTGCATGAGGTAGGCCTGCACGGTATGAGGAAAATATTCAATGTGCGAATGTGTGTGTGAATTGTAATATATTGAGATGACATATGACTATAATAAATAAACATTGAAGTGTGCATATTAACTGCCTGGTTTTTAAATTATTTATAGGATTAGAATTTAAAATTTAAATACAGCTTGTTTCTAGAGCAGCAACATTAATGTTTACAACAGCAAAGTCACTATATATAAACTCAATATCTTACATCACAATACTGAGTGATGTTTAGAAAGATTAAAAACTCAGTCTGTATCAGTCCCTCCTCTTCCTCCTCCTTTTGCTGTAATTCACTGCCTGCAGGTAACGTTACCTGGTCGAAGGTACACCAGACACCAGTCTATGTTACAGACAGACAGCTTTCTATTTAGCTTGTTTTTAACTGTTGGGTAATTGCCAAGTTAACATTAGCTGTGCTAGTAAATACCATAGCCTACAGGATGACAGACTGAGGACAGAGATGATTTACCTTACAGACAGGTGAATTGATATAAGTATTGTCTTTTTACTCG